AGGAAACATTCAGGTGTGCATTTAGGCTGGAAAATGGGCGATTAGCAGATGTCATTTAATGTTGTTGCTCTCTTCTGCGTTGCTAGATAAAGTGGATTGGTGTCACAGCGGGATGGGGAGCCACATGATCCACAGGCCCATGTCTGATCCTGGTGTGTTCTCACACCAAGCCATGGAGAGAGACAGCACGGGAATTGTAACGCCTTCCGGTACATTCCATCAGCCCGTTCCTGCAGGATACATGGACTTCCCAAAAGTTGGGGTAAGGACCTTCTTGGACTTGATACACATGGTACTACTCCATTTCCATGTTGGCACACGAGACAGATGAGCAACCTGGAGATACTGTTTGCTGTGCTACAGTGCTGACTAGCGCTCACAGTACTGCAGAAGTGCTGATCTAATAAACAAAACTTGTCCATGATGCAATAAATAGATGCATAGAAAGGTTTGATTTTGTTTTTAATTCAGTCATTTTATTACTGCTTTAAGACAGTTTCTTTAACTGGTATCCCTTTTGTCATTATGCCTGTGCTGTAGTAGCAGTGTTTACGAACACTTAACTGATTCTTGCTTTTTCCTCCCCTAAGGGTATGCCTTTTTCTGTGTATGGGAATGCAATGATTCCTCCTGTAGCCCCCATCACAGATGGTACTGGAGGCCCTATATTCAATGGGCCTCATGCTGCTGACCCATCTTGGAACTCGCTGATAAAGATGGTTTCAAATTCCACAGAAAATAATGGGCCTCAGACAGTAAGTTTTGAATTTTTATATTCTCAATTTTGTTTTGACTTAAACAGTGTGGGGAAGAAAAGATCTTAACGGTTAATATGAAAATACACTGTGGTGTTTCTTAGTTTTGCTCCTGTCTTTAAGCAGCTGATACAGCCCCTCCTACTTAGTACAGCACTGATTTGTCAGTGCTTAGTGACAACTTCTAAACTCCAGTCACCTCTCCAAGATGTGTCCCAAGAAAAATCGGCATCATTAAGGCAGTTCTAGGATTGTGCTGTTTATTTTTGTGAATACATTTGTGCTGGAGAATTGGGAAGTTTGATTCCAGCTGAGCTTAGTGAAGCTGCCTATTTTATCAGGGTAGGCGCCTGGTTAATAACTGCTGATCAGCTCTCTTGGTAATGTGTTTTTGGCAAGTCTGGATAGAAAAGATAGTTCTACGCTGTATATTGGACATAAAATGATTGCGATTTCTCTCTGTTCAGTTTTGCATTTGGGAAAACACAATCAATTTGCTTTTATTTATTTGCTGTTAGGTAAGATTTCCGTCCCCACAAGGGCAAACAGCATTAGTTCTGAGGGATTGTTGCTAAGCTTTGTAAGGTCCGATGTCTTCACAGTGGCAGGAGTTGATGTGGGAAGGGAGAAGTATCTCTTCTCTCTTCTGCTCTGATCTTGCCTGGGTTATAGGCTTGTCCACTAAAGATTATTTAGGTATAGGGATTATGTTCTCCTAAATCTCTTGTTGGTAAATACCCAACAACTAATACTAAATGGCTTCTCAGTAGCTCTTGTTACATTATAGCCTGTATTTATTTTTAATTATACAGTGAGCTCTGTTAGTAAATATATTTCTGGACATAATTTCCTTGAGAGCCCTCCAAGCTGCAAAGAGCAGCTCCCAGCACTGGCAGATCATAGGTGTACAGAGGAAGCAGTCTGGTTTTAGCCATAGTTCATGCACTGTGCTGAAGTGGCTCATGTCTGGTAGAGGCTGCTTCTGGTTTAGGGAGAAGACCTTGTCCCTCAGAGAAGATTTAGCTGCTTGTCTTTGGGTTTATCCAGAGCTAAGGGTGTTGGTATGCACTGAGAGAAAACAATTAAGGTTGCCAGAAAGCAAGTTCTTGAAAGTTCAGACAGACTAACGTAAAGAGGAAACATAGTCTCTTGCTCTTGCTGGAGGTCTTCAGGTGCTCTCCTTGCCAAGAATTTTGCACATAGAGTTCTGTTACTTCTCCTTGGCAGTTTAGAGGGAACACTTGTTTTCCTGGGTCTAAAGGGAGCAGTAAAATACTTTATCAGTGTTGCTGTGATGGAGGAACTAGTGGGCATAAATAGCATTGATTTCTCTTTTTTGATTCTGGGGTGAAGGGTTGGGCTGGGTGGGAGTAGTTTGCTGCGCTAAATTAAAAAGGAAGAGGAAGATGGACTGATGCTTTGGCCAAGGTGAAAAAGTACAGGCAGAAAAATTAACACCCCATTTCCCTTTTTTCTCACCTGAATTACTGCAGGATAAAACAAGTGTGGGAAGGAACTCTGTGTAGTTTGATGTGTTGCCATGTTATATGATGCCAGACTTTGCTTGGTTGAAGAGAAAACCATAAATGCCAAAAGTAACTTTGCTGCTATTTTGGCTGACCCCAAAGCATGGTGTTAAATGAAGCTTTCTCTTTCAGGTGTGGACTGGAACTTGGACACCTCACATGAACAGTGTGCATATGAACCAACTGGGCTGAGTGGGATCAACTTGCTAGCCTCGAGATTCCTTTTTGGCAGAGGAAAACACAAGTGGCAGAAACAGTTTATGTTCTCCCAGATCATTCTACTGATGTGCTTGACTGAAGTGTGTAGGCTTTTTGCAGAAGAACTTACTAACTGACCTTTTTCTGTGAACATTGTGACCGCCCATTCCCCACCATCATACGTTTCAACTTAGTTAGCCTTTATTCTTTCCTTTCTTTTTTTTTTGTGTGTGTGTTTAGGGATTTTTTTCCTCTTTTTTTTTTTGCCTTTTTTTTGTTTGTTTGTTTGGGTTTTTTGTTTGTTTTGTTTTTTTTTTCTTTTTATATGACTTTCTGTTGAAGCTGTTCTTTGGCTGGTTGGTTTTAGTACTGTAAACTGCTTCTGAGCAAACACAGAAATTTAGCAAAACTTATGTAAACTTGATCCTGAAGTTTTAGAATGGCAAATAAATGTACAATTGTTTACATAACAAATGGCTAAGCAGAAGTAAATTTCAGTATGTCAGTATAGAGGCTCTACTTTACGTAGACTTAAATTAATGTGAGATATGTACCTTCATATTCAGAAATCTGGATGTTTCCTTCATACATTAAACTATTAATAAGCATAACTTTTCTACTTGTGTAATTTAAGTACATTATAACGAAAAAGGGGCATTCTCTGAGGGCTTTTCCCTTGTGTGTGGTGGATTCTCTGAGAAGGCATGCAGCAGTTGGAACCAGATCTTTTGAGAGTTTCTGTTTTTCCTTCTGTTGAAAGGCTTTTCAGCAAAAAGCACCCCAGAAAACAGCCTTTTGGCACATGCAGTCCTTTCCACACTGAGCTCCCTCCCCTACTTGCCTGGTAAATGGCATCAACATATCACACTGCACCATCTATTAGAAGTTTATTCTTGCAGTTGGCTTGGTGCAGCAAGGTGTGCTCTCTTCCACGAGTGCTCCCAGAACTGTTCCTCTGGCTCCTTTGTCTACAAAAGTAATTTCAGAACACATAGTTGGTGTTTTCACCACAAGTCTCTTCAGGGATAATGAGGCTTTTAGGGTTCAGCTTAGCTCATAAAGTCAGCTCCAAAGGAGAGCTTATTTTGAAACAAGTGTCTTTGTTCTAGGAGATCATCTTTATCCGACCCTTGTTCCAAAAATCCCAGTAAACCATGGAGATATATTGGGAGCGTCCAAGTGTGAATTCCCTTACAGTCATTGTCGGGAGCTGTCACTTTTTCACTCACCAACTTGGAGTTGCTTGGAGTGAATGGCAAGACCAGGAGCATTTCTCAGGGGGTTTGTGAGACAACACCAAGGCAGCTCCAGTCAGGAAACCTATTCGGTTTGTGTAGATCTGCTTTCAACCATAGGTACAAATCAGATGTACATTTGGGCAGGACAAGGGGGGACCAGCATGGTCTGTTGCTGGTTATTCTGTAAGGAGGAAGGCTGAAGGAAAGCCTGGCTTTTCTTTGCTCTGTCACTTGGAGTCAACTCTTCTGTGTTACTACCCTGAGATACCCAAACTGGGAAAGAAATATCCCGGATGAGTTATAGGCTGCTGTTAAGAGGTGCTCTTTTGTTATTCTGGTACTCCTTTAAAGGCCAGAAGAAAACACTTGTCCAAAGAACCTCTTAAATACCTGAGAAGTACCAGTGTATCAGAAAGTGTGGTCCATACCTATGTCCAGATCCATACCTTTAGGTGATGTTCTAAGTAAGCTCTTTTTTCCACTTGTCAGATCACCTGAATTACACTGCGTAAAGACCTGGTTGTACCAAAATGGCTACTGAACTGAAGAAGGGCTAAGAGAAACAGCTTAAATTCCATTCCTGTGGGGAATAGTGCCCTTCCAGCTCTGCACGACCTGCAGCCCTCTCCTAGAAGTTTTCGCTTAAGCCGTCAATGCTTTACAGGGTTATTTGTGGTGTCACCAAGAGATAATCCCAGCGACAAATAGTGCCCAGTGTTTATTAAAACCGTGGGTTCTGGGGGTCAGGAAAACAGAGTCTGTGTTTTGTTGACTTGAAAAATCAGGCCAGGGCAGTGGAGTGTGGGTGGTACTGGTGTGGTGTTGAGTTGAATACATGGCGTTCTGGGGGGTGAGAGGATCTGGAAGTGGAGTGAGGAACATTTGGGGGTTCTGTTTGGGTTGTTGTTTTTTTTGTCGTTGTTGCCTTTTTGGGTTGTGATTTACACGATAATGCTTTTTATTTGACCGGTACAGAACAGGTACGTACTCCTTGTTGGACGTGGGAGGTCGCCTTTATTAAAGAAAGAAAACCGTGCTCAAGAGTGCCCGCAGTGGCTCCCTCATGCTCTGCGCGCACTGAGGCGGTTTCCCCCCCCTGCCCTCCGTGCCGTGGCAGAGGTAAGCAGACACGGTTCACCCCGCGCAGGCTTCCCGGCAGTGAGCAGTGACCTCCGCGCCCGGCCCACCCACCCGCTAATGAGGCGCTATCAGCTGCCGACATGCCCTCAGCCCTCTTCCTTCCCTCTGCCCTCAACCGCTATGTCCGCCGCGGCGCCTGGCGCGTGCGTGGCACCGCCCCCTGGCGGAAACTGTCAGCCATGTGGCGGCTGGCGCGGGCGGGCGCCGCTCGGTTAGCGGCGGCGGGGGTCCCGGCCGCGCCGCTCGGAGGCCACGGCGGCTGGTACGAGTGGTGGTCGCAGTCGCCGCCTGTGCACTGGGCCGAGGGCGGTCTGACGGCCCTGCAGGCGTCCGCGGGGCTGCCGTGGTGGGCCGCCATCGCCTGCGGCGCCGCCCTTCTCCGCACCGCCGTCACCTTGCCGCTGGCCGCGCACCAGTGCCGGCTCCTGGCGAAGGTGGGTGCCTTAAAGTTTACCTCGCGTTTTTGTTGCTAGAGCTGCGGCGATAAAACCGTGAAGTAGCCTCCAGCAGATTCTGAACGCCTGCTTTCTCTAAAAGGTAGAAGGGTTGAAATCACCGAAGAGGTTCTCGTGCTGCAGCTGCAGCAGAAGGAGCCTGTGCTGTGTATGGAAGAGTGTGTTTGTTCCTCCCGTTTCTGCTGTTTGTTGTGTATATATAACATATATATACATACACACATACATGAAGCCAGTGGTGTGGTGCTTCGCAGATGCCAGAGCTTAATTTGGTTTGGAATCAGCTAGAGCTTTACTACTTACCTGTGTGTCAGGCTGGTCCATCCAGGTATAGTCATGGACAGGGTTCGTCAATGACCATGGTTCAAAGAGTGTTACTGCAAAAGAACCATAATGTAATCCTTCTATTGCAGTGTGTTTGGGGTGGGATTTTTGTTTGTTTCGGTTAAAGTAATGCTTGTTCATTTTCCCTTTTATTTTGACTGCAGAAGTGATTATCGTATTGCACTCCTGCATAGTGAGGCCTCTTACTCTTCATGATTAGTGACTTCAGTGATTGCAGGGCTGTGTCCTGCTGGGCTTTAGAGCTTTATGAGGGGACATGAAAGGGTGGGGTGTTTTTATTGAGTAAACTAGCTTAAAGGTCACAGTTGCTGAGTGAAGGTAAAAATATTCAGAACAAAATATAAAATTTTAATTCTGTAGTTATATCTATAATTTCATACACATATTTTGATATTTTTATATATAGATTTAATTTATATATAGATTCTATTCTTAAAGGTCTTTTCTAACCTACCTGGTTCTGTTATTCTCTATAGATTTGCTTATGTATATATGTATAACATACAGGTATGCTTATCTATATATAATATAGATGCATATAAAATATATACATTACACATAAATACATGTATATTTTTATATACTGTATTTTGAGTAGTCTGACTTTTACTGTCAATACTTCGCACGTCATCTTAAAGTGGTTGTGTTGTTAGAAGGTCTTCACAGATAGCGCCTTGTCCTTTTCAGTGGTTTTTAATGCCTGTGCAGTATCAGATGGGGAAAGAAACTGGTTGTTATATGCAAGTGTCCATAAACATTTTTCCTTTTCTTTTGCTAGCTGGAAAACTTGCAGCCCGAGATTAAAAACCTGGCTGAGCGCCTTCGCTATGAAGTTTCTGTTCGTGGAAAGCAACTGGGTTGGTCTGAAAAGGTGGCCAGGTAAGGTGGAGATTGTATATATATTACAAGCCCCTTCCAAACTGTGGAACAGCAGAAGGGACAGCCCCGTGCACAACAGTCTTACATAAAGTTTCTGCCCTTACCCAAAGCTGAGATTTTCTTACCACTTCAACTGATTTGTCTTTGTTATACTGCCATTCAGAGCATATCTGGTTTAAAGCTCTGTATTTGTGATAGGCTTATGATTATAAGGCCAAATCCAGGATTATAATTTTTTTAAGTTGTTGTCTTTACTTGTGGTCAAAGTTCCCTCAGCTATGGTGATATCTAAATAGTGCTTGAATAGTTGTGGTCGTGCTGATTTGTTAGTGTAGTACTGCACCTTGTGGAGTAGCAGTGTGTGGGTCTAAGCCGGATGCTGAGGATCACATAACTGACTGATTGCCTCTGCATTGAGGAAGTTGTGCCCTAGTTCAGGCAAAAGAGCACCATGAAATAGCATGTCAAACAAGTTACTGGTTGCTCTATAACAGCTATTGTGAGAGGACTTCTTTCATTTCTTTCTACAAGGTTCCACTATAAGAAGAATCTGCGGAGAATTATCACGGAGCTGTACATTCGAGACAACTGCCACCCCTTCAAAGCCACTCTGCTTGTGTGGGTGCAGGTTCCAATGTGGGTCTGTGTGTCCCTCGCTTTGCGCAACTGCAGTGTCGGTGCCACGAGCTCTGAAGGTGATTCACCTGAACAGACACTCTCTTAACAGTCATTTTTAGTTCATTTACTGTTTTTATAGATGCTTTGTTGCTTAAAGAACACTGTCTCCTTAGCTTGACATGTAAGTTGATAATATGTCAGCTTAAACCTGCTCCACTACTAAGTTTTTGGACTTAATATATATTTAAGATTAGATAAACAGCTGATAAAGTTGAATTTCAAAAGCTTTGGTTCAGCCTGGAGAAGAGAAGCTGATTGGAGACCTCATAACAGCTTTCCAGTATCTGGAGGGGGCCTAGAAGGATGCTGGGGAGGGACTCTTCATTAGGGACTGTAGTAACAGGACAAGGGGTAACGGATTTAAATTGAAACAGGGGAAGCTCAGGTTGGATATAAGGAAGAAGTTCTTTTCTGTTAGGGTGGTGAGGCACTGGAATGGATTGCCCAGAGGAGTGGTGAATGCTCCATCCCTGGCAGTGTTCAAGGCCAGGTTGGACAGAGCCTTGGGTGACATGGTCTGGTGTGAGGCGTCCCTGCCCATGGCAGGGTGGTTGAAACTGAATGGATCTTAAGGTCCTTTCCAGCCCAAACCATTCTCTCATTCTTTGATTAGGTGCACAGTATACATTGTAGTAGACAAACCACAGTTCATATACGTGAAGAACTTGTGCCTGGACCAGACCAAGACTTCTTTGGTTTGTACTCTTGCAGCAAGAGTTTGCATCACCCAGAGCATCACTGAGCTCAGCTGTTGCACTCCCATCATTTGAAATAGTGTTGAGCTTTGTGGGAAGCTGCCTTAAAAAGCAGTATGAGGGCCTGAGCTCTGGAAACAGTGTGAGGCATTTTGTGAGGGTGTGTGAATGTTTAATTATTTTGTGGTCTTCTGAAGACAGAGTTTACTGGGGAAAAAAAAATGTCTTGGAATTTTTATGGTTCAAAAGTATGCTTAGCAGGTGTTATTACCCATGCCACAGCACATTCATTATTAATCTGTGGGGGTTTTTTTGCATGTGAAATTTCATGTGACATACTGTAGACAGGGTGATTGTGGGGGGATTTTTTTTTAACAAAAATACTGATATTTTGGGTTTTTTTAGAAGAGAGTTTATAGTTTTTTCTTCTAAAAAAATATAGCAGGTCATACAGTTATTAAGAAAAATATAATTATTTCAAACCCACAAAATACATAGTGGCTGTAGGTTGTAGTATTGCATATTTTCCTCATTGGTTTGTAAGGTGGAGGTTGAGATCCAGCTAATTTTTATCACAGCTTTACCTGACCCTGCCACTAGCCAAGTTGGGTCTCAGCTTTTATCCCCCCCCCCCCTTTTTTTTTTTTTGCACTTGTGTTGATAGCAGATTGCCTTGAAACACGATTTAAACTCAAGATTTCTTCTTTACCAGTATTTATTGTATAGTTAAAACATCCCTAGAAACTTGGATGATTTGATTATTGTTATTGTGTTCAGCAGTAGCAGTCATTTTTCTCCTTCTTAGTAGCTGGTGCAGTGCTGTGGTTTTGGCTTTAGTCTGATGACAGTGCTGATAACATGTCAATGTTTTTAGTTGCTGCAAAGTAATGCCTAGTCCAGTCAAGGACTTCTCAATCTCTTGCTCTGCTAGTGAGGAGGGGCACGAGAAGCCATGAGGAAGCAGAGGCAGAACATCTGACCCAAACTAGCCAAAGGCCAATTCCATACCATAGCACGTCATGCCCAGTATATAAACTGGGGGGAGTTATCCGGAAGGCTGAGATTGCTGCTCGGGTCAGGCTGGGTATTGGTCAGCGGGTGGTGAGCAGTTTTATTGTGCATCACTTGTGTGTATTGTTTTATTTTCCTTTTCCCTTTTTAGTTCTGTATTCTCCCCCCTTGTTATTTCCCTTATCGTTATTATTATTGGTGGCAGCAGCAGTGGTTTGTGTTATACCTTAGTTACTGAGCTCTTATCTCAACCTGTGGGAGTTACATTCTTTTGATTCTCCTCCCCATCCATCTGGGAGCAGGGTGGGGAGGAAAGGGGGAGTGAGCAAGTGGCTGCGTCATTCTGAGTTATGGGCTGGGCTTAAACCATGACAATTGTAATATGTGGTACAGTTCTAACTAACCTGAGGTAGCAAATAATGCTTAATTCCATGTTTTCTTTGAACTTGTAGTTCAGGAGGCGTTCTCAGCAGGCGGAGCGCTGTGGTTCACAGACCTCACGGCACCAGACTCTACATGGATTCTGCCAGTTTCACTTGGGCTTGTGAATTTGCTGATAGTGGAGGTATGTTGTTGGAAGGAATAGGATGATTGCAAACAGATAGTTGTTTTTTATAGACTTTTAAGGCAGTATTACCCAGTTACAAAATATGGCCACATATTGGTAGTTTCAGATTATCACTGTTCGAAATGCATTGGGCAGAGCTGAAAATTAACTTAATTGTACGTATTTGAATGTGTGGGTTCTTGTTTAGAGATGACAGATTCTCATGTGACCTGTCTCTGATAATTCATTGGCTTTACTTAAGCCTCAGTAAAATTTAGTCTTGACTCTGAAGTTCCTCTTAAGAGTGACATTCTAATCAGTTTCTGGAGTGTTAAGCATCCAAAGCGTATGTGGGGTTTCTCGGTTTGTTCTGCTGCCTGTGATTTGTTACTGCATTGTGATCAAAAGTAACAATATTATGTTTTCTTAAGAAATTGAAAAAATCCAGAACTTTTTTGGATTGTAGCAGTATGATTGAAATGGAAGATGCAAAATGAAAGTAAGGCATGAATGAGAGATCTGTGTTGCAGAAAACCCTTTGCCATTTTTCTCATGTTAGTCATTTCCAAAAGAACTTTTTTATAACTCTGGGTTTCTCCTCTTTCAGATCTTTGCTGCACAAAAGATAAAAGTTTCCAGGTTCCAGAAGCTTATTACAAACTTCTTTCGAGTGGTGTCAGTAGTAATGATCCCTGTTGCTGCGACAGTCCCCTCTGTAAGTGGAGAGTCTTGCCTGGTGCCTCCATTAACCTGTGACTCCAGTATGATCCTAGTACTTCAAAAGCAGCCCAGATGCTGCTCTTTAATACATCATTCTCTCTATTACAAGGTGTTTTGTCTAAGTGTATGTTTAAATTCTTAGTAAGTTTGAAATATTTTTGTTTAAGAGGGAAGAACCTGCAAAGTTAATGTTTCTAAACGTCGTTTTCACGAACTGGGGTTTGGAAACACATTCAGAACAGCTTAGTATCCTCTTTGTGATCTCAAAAGTGAGAGGAAAACTTTATATAAGGACACATAGACAAAATGTTTGCTTGCTGTCAGAAGTAAATAGTAGAGTTCATAACTCAAGAATATTCCCACAGTTTTATTAAAACACTTCTCATTTTACCAGGTGTTTTTCTACTTGTGAACATAAAAACAATTACCTGGTTGTTTGGCTCATCAACTTAGAGTTGGAAACGTAGAAGTTTAAGCAATTTTAATATGAATTAATTTATGAACTGTTGTCAAGCTTCAGTGTAGATGACTCTTTTTCCCAGAGGAGATGAGAGAGTGAAAAATACATTTTCAGTGGAAGCCATTATTATTGGGAGGAGTAGTTTTAGGTGAATTCCTTTTCTGGATGACTGGGAGTAAGCAGTGGCTGTAGTTCATGCTAAGCTGCTGAAATGATTTCAAGTGAGAGCAAGGAGGCTGAACTGGGCTTGGTCTTGTTGCAGTCCATGGCGTTGTACTGGCTGTGTTCCAGCTTCGTGGGACTCTCTCACAACCTGTTGCTGCGGTCTCCAGCCTTTCGTCAACTGTGTTGGATACCAAGGACCAAATCAGAAACAGATACTCCCTACAGGGATATCCTGTCTGCCTTGGCTACCAAATACAGTTTCAAGAAATGATGTAGTTGGAAATCTCAGAAGAGCTGTCCCACAGATCTTGCAGGGATAATTATGTTTTATTGAGATATACTTATTTACTGTAAAATGTTGTAGCTGGGATTATCTTTATTTTCCAAATAAAGAGCTGGCTGGCCATAAAAAATGGCTGTGTGGCACAAGTGTGTGTTTATTGCCAAGTTTTGACTCAGAATAATCCAGCAATACAGGTTTGCTTCCTGAATTATCACAGGGAATTGTGCAGATGACTTAAATAAAACTGGTTCATCTAGTGGAGCTGATCTGACCCATAGGCTAGTGAACAAGTTTTGGGGTGAGGGAAAAGCCTAGACGGGCTGATACTGTAGTTTAGTTACTGGTTTATTTAGTGAAGACCCCAGTGCAGATTAATTGGAAATCAGGTGTAGTTGTTCAGTATCCATCTGGTTCACATGATATTCTCTGTAACAGTTCTGATAGCTCATTTCCTGTAACTGCAGAGTAAAGTGGTTCTCAGTTTCTTACACATTTCATTTGGAATCAGGAGGACAAGTTTCTTGCATAATTTCTGTGAGTGGCAGCCCTCTGTTTCTTCTCAATTTTGTGAATAAAATAGTGGCAGCTGCTTATTGTTTGTACTATAATGAGGCAACTAGCAGCTTGAAAAAGGTGAATGATGATGAGAAACCAAATACTTCAAATACTGTAAGGGTATTCAGGCTCACATCTCACCTTGCTCTGCAGACTTCTTAAGTCAGTAGGCCTATGTTGCTGGGAAACTCTGCACATGAATGTCCCTTGGCACAGAAGTCTGTGCAAGTCTTGTCTCATAAAATGTCATTCCTTTTCTTAGAGAACCAGAAATCAGGATCAAGGACACAGCCTTACCTGTATTCTTTGCCATCAGGTGATTGTCATAGTGCAGAGTCAGGAAGGTTCATGTTTTAATTGTGAAAGCTGGTGTTCAATAATCTTTGATAACCAGAGGTGATATTTAAAATAACAAAAAAAAATCTGTGCGCTGGGAAAGAGAGAAGCAGGTGAAATATCAGGCAGATGTAACAAGCCAACAGTCACATGCTTTTGTTGTGGTGGAAAGAGTCTAATCTTCTGTATTACTTCTTTTGTTCATTTGTTTCCAATAGCCATGAACCTTGAGCAAAAGAAGGGGTTGAAGGAGGTTATTGAGGCTTGGTGTGTAGATAGGACAGGGTTGTTTTTTTCAGAAATGTTTGGAATGAAATGTTACTTATTTTCAGTCCTGATACTACACTTCAGATTCTTTTACTTGGAGGTATTTTTGTTAGGGAAGCGCATTATATATTTTCTCACACTTGCTTCAGAAGCTTATAAAAACATCTTGTAAATTCTGTTTTCTTATTATATTTTATTTGAATTTAGTATCATATGGCTCTTCAGACTGCAGTGTACCTGCTAGACAGGACTGAATGACAGCAGTAGCAGCTGGGCTTGGTTTCTTGCTGGTGGCAGGGTTGGTATCCTGGTCTGGCAGTGTTTCTTGAAGGAGTGAGGTCCTGGCAGTGACCTGGCAAGGTGATGAAGTACAAGTGAAATCCTGCCTTCCCCTGAGATACCTGGTTGTAGGAGGGAAGTTGTTACTCTCAGCAGTTCTTGAGGCCATATCTGGATGCTCCTTCCAGTTATGGGCTCCCCAGCACAGCACATGAGTGTGCTGGAACCAGATCCAGGGGAGGGCTGGAAGCTGGAGCCTAGGATGTGCTGAGAGAATGGAGTTTTGTCCAGCCCATCAAGAGATGGCCTTGCAAAGGGAAAGGGGAGATGTATCACTCTCCACAAGTGCTTAGTGTGAAGTGGCAAAGGAGATGGAGCCAAGCTTGCCATGGAAGTCCATAGAGGAAGGATGAGAGGCAACAGGGACAAGCTGGAAAAGTTTCAGAACTGATAGAAAACCATATTTTTTTTTCTTCGAGGATGGTCCCATGCCTGGTATCCTGGAGTTTGAAATTATAGGATCTACATTGCTGGAGGTACTTGAAGTGCCAACCAGGCAAGGCCCTGAGGATCCTGCTTTAATGGGCCCTGCAGCGAGCAAGAGTTGGACTAGAGACCTCCAGAATTTGCTTTCTAGGTGCTGCATGGTTCTGTGATGATATTAGTGTCTTACCTGGAGAAATATCACAGATTATTAAGAAGAACAATTTTCAAGCATACAACTGGGAGCAGAGCAATTGGTTGGAGTAACTAAAGATGTTTTTGTTTGTGGAACAGGTGGAAACAGTGATAATTACAAAATGGAAGTTGTACTCCCCATTACCAAACTGATAGCTTTAACTAGTATTTTTACTAGTATTTTACTAATATTTTTATTACTGAATTATGTATCTGTTGTCCAGGCATAATGCAAGTTGGCATGATGATGCAGTCCTAAATAGACTGTAGTTCTTCCTGTCCAGCCTTACTCTTGCATTACTGTAGCTGCTGTAACTCATTTTGTACTGTGCCAACGGAAGAAGTATCCTAACCTTTCAGTTTGGCTGGAGTAGACAGTGATACAGATCTTAAAAATGTCTACATTTGATTAAATTAATGATATCTGTTGAAATACACCCTAACAATGAGTTTTCTGTAAAATAAAACCAAGCTTCTACTTCATGTACAGTTTCTCAACTTCAGTCAGTAAATCCTGCTCCACAGATTCTTTAAATACTTTCCGTATAATCAGAAGCACTGGAATTTCTAAGTTGTTTTTTCCTAACATTACTGAAAAAACCCACCCAAAAAGTAGTAACAGCTACCATAAACCCCCTGGAATCTCTTGAGAATATTAACCTGATCTTTAACAGTAGCGGAAACAAAATTGAATAATTGTTTCTACTCTGCCATGCTGGATGAAAAATCTGGAAAAGGGGATTATTAAATACCATTCCGGGCACGAAAGAAGGTTTGTGAGTTGCAGCCACAAAACTGCCTTAAAGCTGCTGAAGAAAAAAAGATAGGACAAGCTGTAAAATAAACTGCCAAGGCAGCAGGTGTGTGTTCCACCCCAGGTGGAAGAAAATTTTTGTTGAGTGGCTATTATATATAGCCACATACCTTTAGACATGCATGGACACACAATTTTCTGCTGTCTCTCTTGCAGCCTTTCTTCACAGTTCTGGTGTTTTAAGAAGAGGGTTTTATGTTTGCTCCTAATTTTCAGATTAAAAGCAGTGGCAGTTCAGCTACGTGAGCTCAAATAAGAATTACCACTGTGAGAGTACACTTTTAACAGATTCTTTCTGAGTTAAAAGTAACACTTATACTGAGTGCTGAATAATCATGCTTAGGCCCTTAAAGAAAACGGTTATTTTTGTTTCAACATCATGAGATGCAAAAGCAGAATGTAATTCCACACAGTTTGTTTCTAGTTCGGTGTTAATTGATACTTCAGTGCTTCTCCATGGCTGAGAGGGCTATAGGTGGAGAGACTTGAGGTAGAGCTGAGTTCCTCATGTATATCTGAGTCACCAGTAGGCAGCCTTGCTTTGCAGACACTGGTTCTTCACATGACTAACAGGCTTAGAGCAGAAGTTGAGCTCACAGCACCTCATGGTCAAGATACGGCATGTTCAGTGTGAAGAATATCCATGTGGCACTGCAAGACTGAACATAGCACTGACCATTTTATTCTGTAGCTTCTTTGCCTGTTCCATAATTGTTTCTTTCTTCCAGAAGTCTTTCTCCTAGAAGTATATTGAAGCATCTGAAGAGCGATCAGCTGTGCTCGTATACCTGTCAGTGTATTATTCTTTAGTAAGAGAAATGAAATCCAGAACTGGTAACCATGTTTTACATAAATTTCCTAGACTTCATCTCTGGTTAGGGAGAATGAGAATAGTCCATTTTATAGGAAACTTTATCCTAGCCTTTTTTTTCTAGGCCTTTAAATTAACATTTGTTAATCATACAGTATCCATATGTCTTTGATCCTCCTTTTTCCTGTTTAATTTATAAATGCATATTTTTCTATACTTTTTCTTGAATAGATGCACCTTAATAATTGTGTAGATTAACTTGGAGATAAGTATGTGGATTTTGAAAGTTTTGTTATATGCCCTCCTTATTCCAAAAACTGCAGTGTGCCTCAATTTAAAGCACACTGTAATGGACTGCTGTGCTTTGTGTAAATACAGGTTGGATTTAGGAGATTTTTCTTCCCCAAAATGAAGGGTAAGGAATTAATTGTTTCTCCTACAGTGGCTTTTTGGCACTTTGACAAGCATGTTGAGGCTTTTGAAAAGGTATGTAAAGTCAGTTTTCCATCTGAGGATGTTAATTGATACCACTAACAATATGTTGAAGCATTCTGCCTGCTGTATAGATCTCTGCTCCTACAGCTGTGACTTTACAGCTAGGGATGTGATACCATCTCTGAGTGAGAACAACAATTCTGGACAAGAAGTGTAGATGTCCTTGTGCTAATAATGCTACATTTCCAGATGTGGCAGCTTTACTTGTGGAGATGTGTGCACTGTATGGTTATGCATCTCAGAATGTCAGTGATAGAGCTACTTCTGTGTACTCCTAGGATATTCTTATGCCAAACCCCCTTCTGTGTGTGTGAAATGAGGCAGCACAAAGCATCTTCTCTAATGTTACTTAAAAACTCAAAAACCCCAGGTAAGGAGGAGGTGATGGGTGGGGTCAGAGTTGAGTTGATAAAGCCCTTTCTGGGGTTGTGTCTGATGTAGGAAATTGTTTCTAGATGTTTAGAGGGTGTTACAGGTCTTTCTGAATGTCATCTTATAATTTTCTGCCTGCTGAGATTATTGGAAGAAGACAATGTGCCAAGGTAATGTGAATTTTTGGCTGGTAAAATAGCAGTAGGGGGAGCTGTTACTCTGCAGCTCAGGAGAAACAGTCTCTGCGTGGTTACTCTGAAAGGGGTTTGTGTTTCCCACTTGAGAGCAGGGAATGCTGCAGATTCTGCACAGGGCCTTAAACCAGATAGGTCTCCTTTGTAGTAAAAAAATAACATGAGATATCTTGGGAAGCATATGGAGACTGATCACTGAAAAATACATCACACGGGTTAATGACTGTTGGGTCACCAAATGTTTAGTACGTGAAATTTGCCTTCTTAGATTTGCCATTGTTTTCTGGTGTGTTTGAAAGACTGCTGCTTTTCAGGATTTGAGTCACCCTAG